TACTTGTACGACCAATATCAGGTGTTCAGAAGCGCCCGGGACCCACGTGCGGGTACATGGAAATTTTTGCGCGAAAATTACTAATCTGGGAGAGGGAAGAACTAGAAAGCTGAGACCTTAAGGGAATGTTCCCCACTCATGTACGAACAAACTCAGGTGTCTAGAAGCAACCGGGGTCCACGTACCAGCACATGGAAATTTGGCGCGAAAATATTAACCTGGGAAAAGTAAAAGTTAGAAAGCTGAAACTTTAAAGGAATGTCCCCTACTCATGTCTGACCAAAATCAGGTGTTTAGAAGCACCTGGGGCCCACGTACAGGCACATGGAAATTCTGGCGCGAAAATCACTAACTCGGGAACGGGAAAAGCTAGAAGGCTGAAACTTTAGGATAATGTCCCCTACATATGGAACAACAGAAGCAGCTGTTAATCCGCAGCATGGATTTACGTGGCAGGCAACTTTTGTTAAAAATGCACAATTTTACGTGCCGTATAATTTTGTTTCCTCAGAATAAACAGTGCAGAATTGCTACAATCACAACAATTTCGAGAAAACACGGTTTTTTTTTTGTCAAGACAAAGACAGCAGAATGTCGTGAACTCAAAAACTGTACCCCCTATAGAATCAAATTTCATGTTTTTCAATTTCTCGTCACACTTATATATCAATACGCGCTTCCTTGCATATTTAAAGCGCTCAATCACAGATTAATTGATTCGTGCAAACCATAATACGAGAATGTAGGCAAAAATGAGGAAAATACGGTTTAGTCCCACAAAATTTAGAAAATACTGTTAAATTACTCATGAAAAAAGCATTCGAATCTTGAAAAAAGAAGTAACGAACCTTTAAGATACATTTGCCCACCAAAACGGTGTCATCAACCGTATCAAATACAGCAATCAGAAAACGATGTGCAAATTCTTCGGCACACATTTTTGATATAAGCCCTTTGAAATTTTTGAGCATAACCTGCAAAACACATGGAAAGGGTTATTTTTTAATCTGTTTTCCCCACTACCGGGCAGCTTATTAAAGCAACAGAAAAAGGAAAAAAACGCAGCCGAAAAAAATGTCGGATGAATTCTGCAGGCCGTTTATACTGGTACTCTCACAATTTTTCAGGATCTTCTTGAAAAGTTTCGAAAATTCGAAAATTTGAACGAAAAAAAATCAGATGCAACAGAGAAATTTGACAACCTTCCTGTCTTTTGCAGGGCTATTCCACAAACACTTCATTGCTGTACGAACACCATCATTTGTGTGAACTATCTGCAAATAGCAGTTCTTCAAAAAACCGCGTAATTAATGATAATACTTATGCAAAAGCTATACGTTCTAAATCGACTTACAAAACAAGGTACAGCAGAAGGCACATGAAAATTGAAAAAAAAAACAGCATATCTTCGTTCCTGCAGTAAAAATGATGCCGGATATTCATGGATGTTTTTACTCCTGTTACGAATGCATAATTTTTATGCTCTCTTCGAAAAGGCTG